TAGTTATTGTTATTTAATAGTAATTGTTTTTAATTCGACTACACAGGATGTTCCAATGAAAACGAGCCACCCCGAATATCTCAGAAACTAAAAAGACTTTGCAAAAACGCCGAAACAGGTCGATTTTGTTTTTGAGGAGCACATTTTTTTTATGTAATTTTTAAATCACTTCCAGTAACCCTTCAACGACCACGCACCCCATCATTAAAAATTTTAATAGCACTACCCTGCTTGTAGCACATCAAATGAAAGCTATTTTAACAAGCTTTTCAAAACTTTTTACAGGTGTGCAGGAATTCATTGTCATCTTTCTTAACTGGTCTTTTCATGAGCCGATTTGAAAAGGATTTAGAAAATAAGTTCTTTCTCTGGGACGTGAGTCTTGGCGCACCCTGTATGTATAAAGGAAATCGACTTAAGGCTCTTCATCGTAGAAGATAACGGTAAATCCTGAACTGCAGTTGTATGTTTAATTTTTTTGTGTCATACAACATTCCAATTCGTCATTTTTAACCGATTTTCTATGGGTCAGTCGGATATCACTTTTGCACTCATCGGTACTCATATCTCCATCAACGACAGCAAATTTGAAAGGCCGAAAGATACGACCCGGGTACCTACTGGTAATAAAGTAATAAATGTTAGAATAGGGCCGGATCGTAGGGTGTAACCCACAAACATGATCGTTTTATTGCGTTAGTTCAAAGCAAAGATCTGCACCCCTCAAGAAGAGAATTGTTAGTTCATTTCAAAACTTTTAATATAAAGGCACTAACCCCAATACGTAATCCTAAAAAAAAAAAATATTTATATTAATTTCACTGAGGACGGTTTGTGCTTAGGAATTATGTGTATTACAAAAAGTTAAAAAAAATTAAAACATTTTGAGAGACAAAAAATACTGCATAAAGTACTAATTTTTTGACAATTACTTATTATCATTTATTACTATCGATTTATGACTTGTACTCTCCAATCTAGTGATCGATAATCAGGGCACTCGCCGATTTAGCGACCGGAAAGCAGGGTACTCTCCGATCTAGCGACCGGAAAGCAGGAACCCTGTAGGGCTGAATTATTTATTTATTTATTTAGCATTTATCACAGTTACAAATGGAATAAAAAACACTAACGGTACAAGTTACCAGCGGCTGTACACAGAGCAACTATTTTTTAAACACATTTCAGCATAAGCTGGTAAATAGTGATTGTAATAAAATTGTTTGATTAAAAATTATCTGAATTTCTTCAGGTGTTTTTTTTTTTTTAATTACTTTCAAAATATCTTTGCACAACACAACCATAATCACCATCCGCTTCTTCAGTAATTTTTCTTCTGTTTACTAGATTATTGTCATTATTTATAATTAATTTTCGTTTTAAATTATTTGCTTTTATTTTTTGTTGTGCATTTACATATTTACATTTTTAGTAGTATAATATCTCGGACTTTTTTGATTTACAGCCTTTTTCAAACAATCTAAATATTTACCTTTAGAATTATATGAAATCAGAGTAGCATTCCCCCACATTTTGGTACACTTCCTCTGGCGAGCCGCCATTGGTATCAGCAGTTTATCAGTTTTTGTTTTTGTGCGTCTTTGCCCGCTGAATAAAAGCATTTTATTTAAGGAATCAAATTATTTTTTACACCTATCCCAACACAAATACATAACAGTTTTTTAGTGTTCTTTTTTAAGATCYTTTTTTGCATTTTTTAACGTCCTAAAATCCGGTCTCAGTAAGTGACGATAAAAAGAGTGTCAATGGGAAATCGCCTTTTTTACATTTTTTGTCGAGAATCAGCTTGAATTTTATTTCCTTGACTTTGTCAGTGGCGCGCGGTAGAATTTGGACTAAATTTAAAACAATTTTTTATTAATAAAATCGAAATTGAAATTTTCAAATGTAGAATTGTAGTCCTTTTCAATCAATGAGTTACTCCTTCTTTTGTGCACTTATTTCAATTTTACATTGTAGGTAAATTATCATGTAAACACTTTGTGTTCTTTATGTTTATGACGTAAGCAAACCTAGACAACTTATCAAAAATATTTAATGCATGGTTTTTACTGCGGCATATGATTTTCTACAATTTAAATTTTCAATAGTCTACAAAAATCAGACCATTATTTTTCCATAACCGATTAGTTACTCGTAACTAAGTAGTTGAATAAAATGCTACTAAATTCATTGTATGTACTATTTCTTATATTATTAGGTAAATACTTTTTGTATGTCTTCTTTTCGTATTCTGTTATTGTTGTTTCAGCATTGGAAATAAAATGCGAGAATCAAACTCCTCAAACAAGAATCGTAGGAGGATCGGCCATCGTCATCGAAGATGTCCCTTTTATAGTATCCATCCAATATCAAGGCGAGCACATATGTGGAGGTTCAATAATAAAACCAAACAAAATTATCACTGCTGCCCACTGTACCGATGGGTAAATAATTAAAAACGTTTGTTTTAAGTACCTACTTTTAAATGATTTAGGAAAGAAGCCACTGATTTTACAATAAGAGCAGGCTCCACAATGCGCGAGTCAGGCGGTCAAGTWGCACAAGTCAAAAAAATTTACCAAAATCCTAATTTTAATTCCGTTGACAACGATTACGATATCTCTATTCTTGAACTAGATTCAAATCTTTTATTGAGCAACACTGTCTCACCAATAACTCTAGCCGACCAAGAAATTGATCCCAATTCTAGAGCGTTCACTTTTGGATGGGGCACTTTTCGATCGGATAGCACTCGACTTGCAAAAGAATTGCAAAGTGTAGCTCTTAGAATTGTCGACAAAGACACTTGTCAGAAATCTTACGAGGAAATGGCAATCACTGAACGAATGGTGTGTGCTGGGACACAAAATGGGGGAAAAGATGCGTGTCAAGGRGATTCAGGGGGTCCTTTAGTAGTTGACAATGTGCTTCTTGGAATTACGTCTTATGGGTCTGGGTGTGGTGACCCTGAWTTTCCTGGAGTTTATTCTAATGTGACAGCCTTACAGGAGTACATTAATGAACATCTATGAAAATGATTAATTCACTTTATTCAATTTTATTCAGTAAAACTCAAGTGTAAATCCTGTSTTTCTTGCATGGTTGCAATAGAAAACACTTTTCTYTCTTTAAACTTTAATTTGAMATCTGTATTGTATTTATTGTTATAAACTATAGCTAAAAATAAAGATAATATGTCGTTGACTTATAGCGTACAAAAKTGAAAATTGAAKGTACAAAAAACGTRCATATAAAATTTTACATTTATAAATACAGTGTTTCAGAACTTGCGCCCCAGAGAAAAATTCCAAGTAATATAAGATACCAGGAACATACTTATAAAAAATATTTGTTAAAAAATTTTGACATTTATTTTTTGACATTTAACTTTTTTATGTCTATTTAATATTACTGATGATCTTGCTTTTTCATAATTATAATAAAGATACAAAAACTTTATCAATAAAAGCCATAAATAACGTTAAACATAGTTACAATTCAGGAATACATTTTCTTTGTTTCCTCTTCTACTAGAAAACAATTTTTGTAGGTTTCTGGTATCTTCTTTTACATGGCATTTTTCTCTGGGGTGCGACTTCTGAATCATTCTGTGTTGATAAAGAATCAAATGCAAATAAAAAACAAGTAAAAATTTCTTTGTTTTCTCAATATTGCATTATCAATATTGTTCGGCACAAAATAAAATTCGGTTAGCTCATATTATTGGTAATATGTACAGGGTGCGCCAGAACTCGCGCCCCAGGGAAAAATTTGGCAAATTGGTATTATTTTCGTAACCTAGCAACGGATATAATTTTTCAATCACACCTTGAGATGCCCTTCTGGACTTCTTCGGCTGCACTTTCTGGCGACCTATTGCCTCCGGCATTTGACATTTTTCTCTGGGGCGCGAGTTCTGGCACACCCTGTATAACATCTAAATCAAAAATCCTAATTAAAAATTGTCAAATCGTAAACACCACAGTGGTGTAGTCAATTAATTTTAATTTTGGGGRCAAGAGCAACAAGTTAAATAATACACAATAAAACTAAGACAAATATATTACTTGACGTCAAGGTACATGGATTATATACTTACATAAATTACTGCTTAAAATTAAAATACATGAATTATTGCCCTTTAAAATGAATCCTTTTTCTGTTACTATTTCTAATTGA